ACCTTTCGCATCCACAGTATCTCGATATTTTTGATAACAGTCAATGGATTATGGAATGTGCTTATTGGACACGGACCTTAATAATGTACTAAGTATGAGGCCCGTTGGACTACGAATTCATGGTCGTATAGTAGGTACTATAATATAGTCGAAGCAGCGTGTTCAGATCACTGTTATTTAATTTACAAGTAGCAGACACTGTTAATTTATGAATCGCTGAAAAAAATAGCAGTGACTGTTACTTTTAGCACCGCTAATATGTGCGCAGTTCGTGAACGATAATCTCGACGGTTGTCTTTCGGCTCTTGATTAATAATTATGTATGATATCGATTATAATACCGAAACAAAATCGATTCCGCGCTGTTCTGTAGCCCGTTCGGAGTAATAATAAATGTATTATAATATTATATAGTATGTAGTGTATAAATGATATAAAGATAAGCACGTTAACTTTTTGATTACTTCGTCAGCGAGTTTCTCGTCGAAATTAGTGTGTTTACTCTTCCCGATAAGTATTAATTTTGAATTGCTTTGCCGAGCGTCTCGCGCGCGAAATAATTATTCGCTAATGGCTTAACGATTTGCTCGGCGCAAAGACCTTACATCAACTTCGTTTTTCAATTAAATATTCTTTTTATAGACCACTACGATGTACTGTATAGACCTACTCGGTTAATATAATATAACGACGTCGGCCGACATGATGGCGATGACGATTTGCATTTTACGAAGCTACTACGCAGTATGCGGCTGTACAAAGTCTACGTAATATCAAATAAAGACGTCACGACGAGTAGATTAAAATAAATATGGTTCTGGTCCAAAGAGAATGCAATAATTATTATACGCAATCCCTTTGATATCGTATATAACTGCTATGACGAGCTAGTCGACGTGTACGTATACGGTAATGATTGATTCGACGAATTACGTTTGCAGCCTGTAGGAAAGTACCCAGGTATATAGGCACACAACAAACAAGTAACCACCGCGTCTATATTACTCGGTATTAAGTTATGACCGCCACGCGTCGACCGAATACGATATTTCAATGTTTGCGAATTCGCTCCGAAATAATATTGTGACAATATCATAGCTAAGTACCGATACGTATTAATATTGTTATCAAATAATGATATAATGTGATCAGTCTGATATTGTTTCAATCTGCTGTAGGCACATCCTACAACAACACTATTGGATTCACTTACGACGTCGTAACCAGATCTAAACCATGTCTAAACCATGTCTGACGTCTGTGTAAGTTTGAAGGAGTTACTTAATATCCTATATATTGTTAGAATTCAATGAACATTGGTCCTGTGGGTGCTGTGTAATTAATGACGATACACTTGGTCTATATATTATATTATTATAAGTTTCGACTTTTTTTTATATATTCCATTATTTTCACCTATTAATTTACGCGTGTTATATATATCGGTGCCTTTTTGTTAATTTTAATTTGAAAATTACTTATAGTTAAGTCCATCATGCGCTGTCACCGCTTTAAACGTCTTTACGATGATGATGATTATATAATAACAATATTATCATTATACGATGTTCTCGATCTTTTCACATGATGGCTGTGGAGCACAGGTGTTAGAATCCCACGCAGTCCATCTATCGATTGGAAAATGGACACAGATGGCGCACTATATTATTATTTATTATTATAGAAGGGTCTTCTTTTTCTTTTTTTTTTTTTGTAAATGATCAGTAGTTTTTGAGAGTAAACGTCGAGAAGAAAAACGCCGACAATTTCGGTAAAGTGTTTATAAAGTATATAGGTAATAAAATATACTAACATACAACCGTAATAAAGTACAAGAGTATTATATTGCAAATCGGTGATATTACAATAATGTATAGCTGCAATTTGGTAATGAACAGATTTGTACCTATATAATATGTGAATGCGATACCTACATTTTGATATGATAATATGCGAGCACTCAAAAATACTTTTAAACATGACATAAATACAAAAGTAGAGTAGGACTTCGGAACAATCGTTTATCAACCGCAATCATTTATCGATTGATATCGTCTCCAAATAAAAAAAATACTTAAATTCAATATACACTTGAAGCGATATCTATGAAGTACACTAAAAAATGTTAAAAACAATAATAAATTCCTTATTAAGGGGATTCCACCCGGTGGTTTTCTGTTATTGTCTAACAAGCTCGTGATATAGGATTTTAGATGTGTTCTATGCCAAAAATACCAATTTATCTTATTAGATAAGAATTGTCTTATTAAGCGATAAGTATTCTGAAAACGACTTACATTTGTTTTCAAGTGTATTTGAAATCGACTTTCTCATAATTTTGATATTATCCCCCTAATTCCTAAAACCGTCTTATTAAAAAAAAAGTATAAAAAATTGTCATATTTGAATTTTCGGAGAAGTTAAAATTGAAAAATCAAAAATTTGCGAAAGTCGATCTTAAGTAAACTTAACGCCAAATTCAAATCTGTTTTTATAATTCTTATCGCTTCATTAGAACAATTTGTATATTTAGCAAAGAACCCGTCTAAATACATATGTCACGTGTGTGTTAGATAAATACAGAAAATCACTGGGCGGAATCCCCTTAAGGATTGCATATAAGAAACCTAAAAGAACAAATACCAACATACTTAATAGAAATTTTAATTTAAGAACATAAAAAATACTTCATACAAAGGAAGTTTTGCTAATTTTATATCACTTGAATTTTAGAGAAGTTTCTTTTAATCATAATTTATTATCATAACAACAAATTACAAATAATGTTTTTAGATTAAGTAAGTGTATACAATTTAGGGGAAATAAGTTCCTTTTAATGTTATATTGGAATTTGCAATTGATTTTAATAATTTTAATAGTTACGAAAAATATATTAACATAAAAGTTAATTTTTTATTGCAATAAAATATAACTAGATGTATATTTATTATTAAAAATTATTTTAGTTTTTTAATTGTATATACAAATATATACTATAGACATTTTTAATTTTAATTTTATTCATACATTGCATATTATTCTTATTTTTATGTTGTATTAACAAATAACAAACAATTTATTTGGTATAATTTGTAGATATGGAACTCTGTGTCTTTTTAACAAGCTTTCCTTTTTGGAGTTATTATATATTACATTCCTATTGTTATATTTAATTTACGTAAATTTGTGAAATTAAAATAAAATAAGTTAATTATTAATATTATTATTTAATATTAAAAATTCAAACGAACCGTACATTTTTTAGATTATTAACATATCTTCTCGTTTTCTTACCACCAAAGGATTCGATATACCGACTGTTTTAACGGAATTAAATATAGGGAATTTTCTAAGTGCGTGGGTACGCGATATGTGAATGTGTGCTTAGTAATTGATCATAAGTGACTAAAGTGAGTGTGACTGTAGTGTAAAATAAATAAGCTGAATGCTCCCACACGTGTCGAAAATTCGCTACACGAATACCTATTATTTTAATTTTTTTCAACTAAATAATCAGGATAATTATCGATAGATCTCGCTAGAGAGCGTTCTGTGCTTTACGGCGGCCCGGTGTCGTAGCACAGAGTGAACAGATCTCGGAGAGATATATATACAGGAAAACGGACGATATTTTGATTTTTACATGCAACGTATAATAATATGGAGAACGGTCGAAGTTACTAGTTTTTCGCTTTCGCAATACCGCGTTGAGTTGTGACGATATGCGCATGCGTGAGTGCGTGACCTTGGTTGCACGGCGGCGCGGCAGTGTGGCATACGCGCAACGCGCTTCCTACTCCTATAGTCGGATACTCGGATAGTCAGTCCTATTACTATTTCATTTGCTCGCTAGCCGCCGTGCTGCAGGTTGTGTTTTAGCCATATTGTCCGTCCGTTTGATTATTATTTATTACTATCCGTACGGCGTACATTATTACAATAACAGTGATAAACTTTCCGACGGTCGGCCGTATGTTAATCTTTCTCTGCTGTCTCGCGGAGTCCGTATTTTATGCAAGTACTGCATAAACTACTAATTAAAAGACCATGGCCGAACAATTCAAAAAATGCTCACATATTAGTATTAGAAGAGAAATAATATATAATTATAGAATAGATTATCAATATAGAATTAATGTCTCTTGCTTCAGAAAAATAGCTGAAATCTCCAAAAAAAACTTCGGAGAAGTAAAACAAGTCTTCTGTGCTTTACTTAAATGGATTGGAGTACTTGAATTTTGAGGTAAATAAAGAATTGAAATCAATATCAAAATTCTGTGCTTAGTAGGTGCAAGAGAGAGTATAAAGAAAGTTCCTGTTAAAATTGTGGTAAATAAAGAAGTGAAATCAAACCTCAAAATTCTGTGCTAAAACTTAATTGACTATTGAAGAAAATTGGATGACATGCAATTTTACCACATTTTTAGCTACAAAAAAAAATTGCACAGAACGTTCCACATTTGCCTGCAAAAATTCACATGTCCATGGATGCACTTCGTTCTGTGCAATTTTTTTTGTCATCGAATTTTCTTCAATAGTCAATTAAGTTTTAGCACAGAATTTTGAGGTTTGATTTCACTTCTTTATTTACCACAATTTTAACAGGAACTTTCTTTATACTCTCTCTTGCGCCTACTAAGCACAGAATTTTGATATTGATTTCAATTCTTTATTTACCTCAAAATTCAAGTACTCCAATCCATTTAAGTAAAGCACAAAAGACTTGTTTTACTTCTCCGAAGTTTTTTTTGGATTACGATATATTATGGAACAATATTGTTATGTATGCAATTGATAGACCGTCGTTATAATCAACCAGCTGTTATTACAAAATCGATGTGACTCGTCGTTGTTACTATGATGTCATATATTCAACAAACAGACGAACTTGGAGTGAAATCTGTGTGAGAATACAGCATTTTTAGTCAGAAATTCACGATATTGTATTATTATAACAACCAACATTCATAGTAGGTATATGGATATTGTTTAAAATTGGAATGGTACTTGCTACGAACGTCGTGAGTTTGATATTTATTTTGGGGTTCCTGTGTCTGGTGAGGAATACCGGGGCAGGTCACCATGGCGGTCATCATGGTGGTCACCATGGAGGTCATCATGGCGGTCATCACCGCGGTCATCACTCCGGTCACTGCGGTAATTGTCATGGTAATTATCACGTCGGTAGTGGTGTGGAGCCGAAGCACAACAGATATTTTGGTCACGGTGGACACGGTCGTCGCCCGGACCAGGGTCATCATGGCGGTGGAGGTCCTCGCGACCAGGTTTCCTCGATGCACCGCAGTGGTGGACAAAAATCGTTGAACCCGGTGGGCTCTAACTCCGAAAACCAACACCAAACCCGATTGTCGGCACATTCTAAGAAAAAGGGACACGCGGACATCGTACGCTCTCAGATAAGTTCAAGAGATGTGAATTTAGTGACTCTACCAAGTGCAGCCACAAAACAATGTACATGACCTATTAATGACGTTTATATTATGATTATTATTTTTATCATTTTTGTTATTGTTTATAAGTTTTATTTCTCAAAATTTAAGCGAGGACCACGTACTTAAGACACATTGTGCACACCCTTCCTATCAAAGTCTCAGTTCACTACATGTTGTACAAGTCCTGAGTGTCATACGACTATAATTTTTTTTTTTTTTGTACATCTCTTAATTTGTCCTGAGATTTTTAAAGATAGTCAAAGAGTTGCATTCACATCCGAATAATATATGATGTAAGACTTCTTCGGTCTTCCATTTCCTGTACATTTGTGTCATTGATACAATGATACACTGATAGTATGCACGGGTCGTACGTGTGTAATACGGAGACAACAAATGCATGGGTAGCATCCTCTTAAGATACCGTTCTCGTCTGATTTCCACTAATATTCTAAAGATCGCTATATCCTATAAGTAGTATCTCGAGTTCTTCGAAACATCTTTTAAATTTTAGGGGACTTCCTATGCCGTTAAATTATTTTTCAATTTTTGTCACAACACGCAGGTATAATATTACCTATATACTTTAAATTTGTATACGCCCATAATATTATAAATCCACACATGTCGAGCAAAACTGCTCTAAAGCGCACCTCTCTGCCTTTCAGATCGTCTTAAATCCAATTTAAAACTATAATACTTACATAAAGCGTTATATCATTATATTGTATTGGTATATTTAAATTGAAAATCACAAATTCTAATGTCGTATCATTTTCAATTGTGTTATACGCACCTTACCTAACCTATGTATTATATATTATTATGTGTAGCTGTGCAAATTCAAATACATCAGATACAACTCTTTCCGTAATAAAATCCAAATACGATCGAAACTTAAAAACTTATACGCTCCAAAACTTTGAAAGTGTCGATAATAAATTATGAGTTCATAAGCTAACTTTAGTTCTTATAAACATATATGGTTGACTTTTTAGTCACTCTTTTTCACTGAATATATTTCTTTTCAAGAACTCTATCTATAATATTTATTTAAGCTCACCAGATTGCATTTTCGTAATGTTTTTTATGAAATGTGAAAACGAATTAAACATAAACGTTGATTTATTATATATTATGTGTACTGCAAAATGTCAATATTATGGATTGGAACTCATCTCAAATTATTGTTGAATTTTATTTAATTATATATACAATGTATGTATATATGTATAATACATGTATATATGTATATATGTATAATATATATTTGAAATTATTAATGATTTTTAGCACATTTTACTAACAAATTTCAAGATTTAAATTATTTAAAAAAAAATAATGACAAAAATCAATTCTATAAGTATGTATTCCAGCATATTTTTATAGGAAATATAGGTAGTAATTAATAAAATATAGTAAATACTATTGAATATTTTGGAAACTCATATTTACTTATGGTTTATCTACATATAAATTGTATATTTATTTATAATATATATATAGTTTATTTCTTTTATGAAAATACCACCCAAGAAATAGAGATTTGTCTGAAAATGAAAATATGATGTTACCTTTTATTTTATTTCAAAAACAGAATCATAAAATGTTATTATGATTCGTAAAATACAATTTTGTATGAGTGCATGTATTTTAAGTATAAAATATAAAAAAGATTACATTCATTACACTCTTTACTTTTCAGCTTTGCAATACTATACTCAGAGCATAATAAAATGTTTAATCCTTCTTTCTTGTTTTTAAAAAATTATTTTAGTTTGATATTTTTCATATATTAGCGTGGTCAATGATTAATGTACAATATATAATATTCATATTAAGATTTCACTCCCTCAAACCACCAAAAACTTAGTTCTACTCAACAAATTTAATTTTAAAAGATAGTGCTATTCAAATAAGCATTAACATTTCTACTGAACTTTAAAAATATATAAACAGAAACCCGAAGTATTCATAAAAAAAGTGTTAATGTACCGTGAGTGAAAACTGCAAAGTATATAAAACTATTACAATAACTTTTAATTAAGTCAATGAAGAGTGTTTTTTTTTTATTTTCCCTCCAACGTTATTATTTTTTAGGCTTAAAGTAATTATTCAAATTCTGAACAACATTTATGGTAATTAAGAAATTATTGTTTAATTTGTCGTTCAATTTAAGTGAATGGTTTTAATCAAAACATCATTATATTTAATTTTATTTGTTTAATTTTTGATATTCGTATTAATTTATACTTATCTAACAGACAATAAATAATAAATTAAATGTTTTTTTTTTTTAGATAGTAAAACGTAATTTTATGTGCCGTAAATAATAAAATTACTCATATGATAATAATGTCACTAAATATTTATATTTTAGCCTCAAATATGTGAATAACAACTAACTTTTGACTAAAATATTTTGTTTAATTCCCATATTTTTATACTTCTATGTTCTATCTCAAAAAGTGTTTCGTTTACTTCTGAAACATATTAAATCATAATAAGGAGCACTTTCTATCAATTTTTGTTATTGAGGACCATTTTGAAGATCACGGCTAAGTTTATTCTGTACTATGACCGATTCCACTTTAACCATTGGGTTGAGTATAATAATTATTACGAGTAACTAGTAGTGGAATACAGACGTTGCACAATGATAAAGGTACAAAACAAAAATTCTTCTAAGAAAGAAAAAATTAAATTACAAAAATGACATCAAAAGTTTATATTATTTGTTTTCTTTCGACATGTTGTCTTTATATAATACAGACCACTGTTACTATTGTGCGGTTTATGGATACAGCAGCATTATATTATATTGTATACGTATGTGTATTCCGTTGCAGTCTCGTAACGATAAAAGTGGCATGACGGGAAATATATTGTATTTTAATGACATACAAATATATAATATAAAGTTGGAATAGTTGGAATTCAAAAGAAATGAAAAAATATTATGTAGATGGCATTTAAAGTGCAACGCAAAGTTTTATAATAAAATAATATAATTCACTCGGTATTAGTGCATTATAGTGTAATATAATACACCACAGGTAGTAAATAACATAAATATTTATACTACAAATTATGTTTATCTTATATTGCTGTAACATATACCATTAACGCAGTTTATTACGCCTATGTTTACTTTAATTTGTATAAATCATCATTATAATTCACCTACCTGCCATTTCAAATGTCGAGAGTTATATTATTTAATTGAATCCAAATATTAGCAACGTATAGCATAGTAGTGTCCGTATTATTTTATATAAAAATAAAAAAAACGTCATTAGAAAACATTGGCGTCACGAAAATATATATGTTCACAACGTTCTTATTGAGTAATATTTTCAAAAGTTTTCACTCGAATCATCTACGGAAAAATATTACCAAAAGCTTTTTATTCAAATTACATAAAACTTTTTAAATCCTTCATTTGCAAAAAATTAATTATGTATACTTTTAATTTAATTTAAAACTTAGTCCGCTTTAAATAAAAGTATATACATATTTATAAATATTTTGTTTTAATATCTAGAAAAATAGCGATATTTTATTTAATTAATATTTACGTTTTTTTTAACGATTTGATTGGAAAAGTTTTTTGGATTCAGTTCAATATTAACGAATTTATTTTTTTTCTAAATCATGTAATGAATATTGCTAAATATTCAACAACATTGAAAATTGAAATAGGTATATGAAAGTTATTGTAGATACATTTTAAATATTTTATTATATTATTCTGTTATATTTTTATCGGTATTCAAGTTTTTAATGGTTTTTGAAAAAGATAGACAATTTAGCTGGGTAAAGTATATCTTTGTACGAATTAATAATATTAATACAAACAAGTCTGAAATATTTTTTTTTAATTTTTCTATAAAGTCAAATTAAATTAATTAGACATAATACTATGATCGTTTAAAATATTATTAAAAACAAAAACATAATATTACAATAAATTAATAACTAACGGAATTAGTGTAAAAATAATATTCCAACCTTTTTCCTATATGATGCGTTGATCAAGATGAAGACAATACTGCACATATAGGTATATAACGTACCTATTGCCCTTAACCACAAGCAGTATTGCTTACTACTGCGCATTTCATCACTATCTGATATTAAAATGCATATTTTGTAAAATGATCGCACTAGTCGTTCTCGGTTTACCATATAATATCATATTGGGCTGACCTGTTTTCATCTATTATAATATTATTGTTGTTAAAATCACGCATAGCGTTCTCTGCAGATTTTCGTTCAATTATTGAGGTTATTACACCGAACGTGTTGGTTTAGAAGTTCGATAAACTGTCTGTTTATTTCGCAAGTATTTGCGTGCGTCTCGTGCGAGCGTAGGCGTAGACATTGCAATGATCGATAGCACTCAGTTTGCATGGTATCAATGCGTGCTGTAGGTATATTATAATATTATTGTGTGCTTATTATGTGGAACGACTCTTTCGTACAAGTCACCACCGACGACGAAACAGCGTCAACTGCACGAGCGGATGTTATTTGTTGCTAAATGCTGCGCGTTATTGTGTTGATCGTGTGTACCTAAAGCACAGTGGTTCGAAGTTTAAAAAAAAAAAATGGCCGAAACTCAATAATAATATAGTAATACCAATCATACTAAAACAACGTATAAAAATAGTTAGTTGTATTGTTTAAAACAATTTTTTGCTCAAAGTTTTTTTATTCCAAGCGTTCTTTCATAAAAACAAAAGTATATACATTTGTATCAATATTGTCATCGCCACTGCCATTATTTAAAATTATTAATTCTTTAACGATAAGGATGTAACTTTCGTCTTTTTTAACTTCCCTTAAACTACTTAAAATTCAGAAGGATCAAAAGGTAATATTATTAAGCGGTACCTTTTTTAGCGATTTCGTTTACTATTTCAATTGTGCTTTATTACAATTACAAGCACAGATATAATATTTCTACAATGATAAATACTCTACATATAAGAGTCGCTATAATAATATACCTATACATATATTAT